TCGATTTTCCTTCCCTTTCATGATTAGGCTATTTTGGCGTTTCTATGTCCATTAAGTTGATGGCGTGGTGCTGTTCTGTGTCTCTATGCCATCAGCCAGGAGTGTCTGATGTTTTTTAAAAGTTTTGATGTTTTAAAAGCAGACTCTAAGCTTCGCGGCCAGCATAGTGTATAGTGTAATGATTCCTACCCACAGAGTGACACTCATTTATCAATCTCATAAAGAAGGACGACTGACCCTGATCGACGCATAAAGTCAGAACTTTTCGGTTCTGAAGCAATACGTAGTAAATTCCGGATTTAGGAGAATTCGTGAATAAGGCAAAGATGATCCTCCAGCAGAATCGAACCTAACAGCTCATGATTACGAAGCAAACCCCTTAAACAAATGTACCAACACACCACTGCTTTGATTCTCAGCGACGTCATGGAACGTCATTTACTCATGATCTTGATTTACACGATTTCACAGTGCCCATCTTCATCACTGTTCCGACGTAAATTATCATATTGCACATCAAGGAAAATTTCAACGAGAGCAAAATAAAAATCCATTGCCAAACGGGTACAAAACAATCGACTGTTACTTCATTTCATGCTACCATGTAATGTACGTTCGACGTCGTAAAGTCAGTGTACAGCCATTTTGTCGCGAGTATCAGTTGATCTGTATCTATCTATATGCATCAGTTGTTCGATTTTTTAAGTTATCAGTTGTTAACAGAAAGCTGTGAGTAAGCAAAATGCAGAGCTTTCATCAGAGATTTAAAGATTTCAAAAATTTTCAGTGAACCTAGACGATTGGATTTGATTAGAACAGCATAGCTATTACGACTTACTGCTTACACTGAAGATAAGTATCATTTATCAAAGTTACATGATAGAAGTAAATAGTGACTGAAGTCACTGAACGGAAGCACTTAAGTATATTCTGGAATACCGAAGGAAAACCATGACATTGGAACTACAGTACATAAATGTTACTTATACATCTTTTTGCAAGTTATTGAAATTGTTGTTTCTTACCGATTCTCTTGGGTAAAGGATTTACTACACATTGCTTCAAACCGGAGTTGCTCAGTTGGTAGAACGTCAAACTACTCAAAACTGATAGGTTCTAACTTTATGATCTGGTAGAGGATATTCCTCCTTCATCTTTCTGAGACTGGTGAACGAGCGAATACCACCCTGTGGGAAATAAACTGAAGTCCACGCGCTACGCTTGCTGCATGGCTGTTAACTCTGCCTTATAAATAATGAAGCCCTCCTGAATGATAGAATAGAAATAAAATTCACTGCCCTATTATCAACCCCAAGAACAAAATGACGCTAAAATGGCCCAATCATTGAAGTGGATGAGAACCGACTTTTTACAGTGACAAATATTTTCTTTTCATCTTTCATCCTGGATTGAAGCGTCGCAGGCACCGGCTTCTTGCTTGCAGTGTCCTAAATGACCATTTAAGTAGTATACGGTTACATGGTATTTGAAGCCTGCGGTGCATGGGTACAAAACCGCATCACTACGCAGGGTTGAACAAACAACCACTTCGGACGCCTACAAATATGCTACGATCCGTAGGCATATTTATGCAGAAAAATAAAGCTCGATATTATGGGTTTATTAGCTTACTCCTTATTATTGATACTGCCGCTAACGTATATAATCCTTTACAATTTTGATATTGAATTGCGATCTGAAGCAGTGGGGAAGATGCATACGCCGCTTCAATCCGGTACCCCAAACTGAAAAGGTTATATATCTTAGCGGCGGTGCCGATAATCAGCAGTATGCTAGTAAACCCATAAGATCGGGTTTTACTTTTATGTATGAGTGATTAACTTCCATTTTTAGCCAAAGTGTTCATTTGGCATGGATAACAGCGTTGCTCAGTTCTAAATTTGCGGACATAAACTGAATATGAAGTTCAATTTTTCTGCAACAAGAACCGACTAAGGTATAAAGTGTTAACTTACCCCAAAATTTGACATGCAAAATATTGCATCGCTGTGCCATTTCATAGTTATGCGCTAACCCACAGAGATAACTGGTAAAATCTTTATTATGATAGTAATTTACAAGTACAAGTTGTTTTTTGACCTCAAAAATCAGAATTCACGGTGTATCGCATCATCCTCTTCTTTCATTCGCCTGAAGTATGGGCCATTTAAGTAGACAACGGCTTCATGGTATTTGAACAATCGCATTGCCTGATGCACCTCCCATAGCTGTGTTTGCTACTTGATCACAGTTTTGTTTAAATAACCCCATCAAATCCGTTCGTCTATTTGTTTGCCGAGTACCATGTCATTCTTCTAGCATCATATTGGTTTTCCTCATCGTCTTGTTCTGACTCGAAGACTTTGTACACAGTTTCCTTATATATAAGTGATTTCTTCTCGTAACATGTCAAAAGTGCAGTGGTTCTTGTTCTCGCGTCTTTCGTAAGCAAAAAAGGATTTCTGTATCATCAAATTTTCAAACCTTAAATGAACTTGCGTTCTGCTTCATCGCAGGTCGAGCCTTCAGATCGAAAGGTTGAATTTGACCACTTTTGTTTCACAATGTTTCTGATGCTGAGATCTTGCCATATTCTGGCGATCTTTGTCGTGCAAATTCTTGTCCTCGGCAATTGTCAATAAATCACCACTTTACGTTCCAGATGGCAAGACACTTTAAAAACGTGATTTCCCACAATTCATGTCTGGATGCGATTTCCAAGTATCATTGACTTAATGTTCCTTTCGTGAAATCTTGAACTTTGGCTCAATACACTGACCTTCTCTACCGGTTGTTGTAACTTTGTTGGATATGTTACGATTAGTACTCTTTCATGCGGATTTTGTCTTTCTAGACAGAATTACCCTAAAGCACAAGGATTTTTATAACAGCAGGTCACAGCAGTTTCACTAGCCGATCGTTTTGCTTTATAAACACCTTCATTAACCACTGTAACTGAGAAGTATTTACTACTTAATAGTCATTTACTTACGTCACATGAAGTACGACTTTGGGCTGTCGCTCGCTCTCAGCGGTGCAAACGCCAAAGTTGGACAGTGGAAAGCATATATAAAGTTAAGCAGCTGCAAAAGCGAACACTGTTTATGTACATGCGTATGTATTTATACTGATATGGATTTCAAAATCTATTCAAGCACTACAACATGCCATATAATACTGGTTTTCGATTCAAGAGCACAAACACGATAATTCGAAGAAACAACGTCTGATCATAAGAAAATAAAAAACCCTACATTTGGAGTTAATGCGTCATTATGAAGTCTATTTTTGAACCCTTCGCCATAAAGCGGTCGAAGTTTCTCCACTGACAGAGCTTCTTGCCAAAGTCATTGTAATCCGTTATGGTTTGAAACTTTAAGGTCCTTTCGAATAGGTACCAACGGCATCTTCAACACGCGAGAACCCGTCTTGCTTCAACAGTTCGGACAGCTCGCGTTTTACGGTACCCACCACCGGAAAACCGTTATAGACGATGGCAGTGTAGAGCTGGACGAGTGAAGCGCCGGCCTTTATGAAATCATACGCATCCTTGCCGCTTTCGATTCCACCACAGCCGATAATTGGTACTTTACCTTTGGTCAGTCGATAAAAGTCCCGTACACATTGCAGAGCCAAATACTTCAAAGGAGCACCGCTGAGTCCTCCTAATTCACCAGACAGTCCACTTCTCAAGGTTGCTGGTCTCGAGATGGTCGTGTTGCTGATGATGAGACCGTCGATACTACTGCGTTTGTCCAAGCACAGCGCAGCTATATCCTTCTTCTCCGCTTCAGTCAGATCCGGAGATACCTTCAGCAGAACTGGCTTCTGTTGCAACACGGGATTCGCCGCGCGCACCTTCGCAGCGGCCTTAAGCAGCACCTGTAGATCTTTTTTATACTGTAAATTTCTGAGACCATAGGTATTTGGGCTGGAGACGTTGAGGACGAAGTAATCGGCGAGCGAGTCGAATTTCTCCAGACCGGAACAGTAATCAGAGACAAAGTCCGTCGAGTCGCGGTTCTTTCCCAAACTTACGCCTACACAAACCGCCGTGCTGATACCATTACGGCTGACCTTCGAAAGTGAAGAAGAAGCCCAAAATCGCCGGAGGTTCTCTGCCACATGTTCATAGCCGGCGTTGTTGAAGCCACAACGGTTTATCACCGCGTGATCTTCCGTCAAACGGAATATTCGCGGCTGAGGATTTCCTACTTGAGGAAGTGGAGTTACAGTACCTACTTCCACGAAGCCGAAACCAGCTTTCGTCAAGCCACTAACTGCTTCCGCGTCTTTGTCGAAGCCGGCAGCCAAGCCGATCGGATTGTCGAGGGTCATGTCGAAAAATTTCACCTCCAACTCCGGATATTTTCTGAACATTTCACCGCACAGCGGCAGTAGGCGATACTTGGCCAAACGTACTGCAAGCCGGTGGGCTGCTTCAGGGTCCAAAAATCTATGAGCGAG